CGAGGTAATAACGATGGAACGAACAAAAAAATGTTTCTCTCTTATCTCTGCGAGCAAACACACCGATTCTTCTGGCAGAGTCGCGTCGCGCGCACTTTCTCATGGAAAAGAGCTCCGGAGCTGAATTGGATGTCATTTTCGTGATAACTATATAGTAATTACATTATCAATCGCGTATCTCTCGGCGCAGATAATAACCATTATATGTAAGCGACGCGCGCGCGCGAGGTGAAATGAAAACGTTTCGTAGTTTTACTGTTGTGTACGTCTCGATGTCTATATGACGATGTGTTCGAGCGAAAAAAAAAGGATAAGAGGCAACGAGAAAACAGCCGTATATATATGGGAGAATAGACAGAAAAGAGACACCGCTATATAATACGCGCGGAGAACGTAAAATGTCCCAAGTCCCTCGCCCTTTTTCTCTCTCTTTTTTTCTTTCTCTAATCGTAAATCTTGGCCTGCTGCTTATTGTTTTCTTGCGACTTTATATTCGTACGGAGTAACCGTATCCTTTCCTTTTTTTCGTCGTAGTCTGTCCTTTTTATATATATATCGAATTCGAGTCGAGTATCGATGCAGACGAATGAATAAAGAGTCAGTCTCGAACGTGCGGTCGGAGTACAACAAAAAAATGTTTCGATTCAATCGCGGAATTAAAATTATATTGATTTTAGCATTTCATTCGAGTTCGAAATCAATGAACTTATTCGAGATAGAAGAAGAAAAAAAAACAACTGGTATATAGAATTTTACCTGCGCCTCTCTTGTTGCGCTCTCGCGACAATTGACAATGCTCCCCATTCGTCAAACATGCGCATTGCGAGCATGCGTATAGTACTACTACACACCTCTGTATATGAAGACCATTCATTTTCGCGTGTAATATACCTACAGCAGCAAGTTGTAACTGTACAGAAGCGAACGTCTATATATACACACACACACACATTTATAATGTTACTCAGGCTCGATCATTTGTGCCTGCGCTTCTATATATATATCGTATTCATAACACGACATGTATATGCCTACTACACTTGCATTTCTATGCAAGAGCAGAGCAATTCACCGAGAGTGAGTCACAAGGGGAATGTTGTTTCTTTCCCCCCTTTTGCTCTCGCCGCTGTGCGCGTCTGTAAAGTGCATTCGAAATTGTACGACTCAATTAGCATTTGCTCCATGGCCTGTGTTATGTATATATACGCGTACTTACTGCTGCTCCTTTATAATATCTCTCTCTCGAGTCTCACGTGCGTTTGTACTTACGTCTGTGTGTATAGCGTTTAGCGGCACGCAATCTCGCGACCATCGCCCTGATTACGTTTTCGTTGTTTTTTTTCTTATCCGTAATTGCGCGTGCATACACTACTCGTGCGCATAAACTTGGCCTTCTTTCAATTTATATTTATATAGACGTATATATAATGTGCCCAGCCTTGCTATAGGTATCATTGTCCTGCGCTCCTAATTTGAGATCACTGTTAATTTTCTGAATAATGATTCGCATTTTATTTGCCATGTATGTGTGTGTATGGAAGCGTTCGTTGATTGAATCGAGTCCTCCTGTCCGAGCGCAATTAGTCTATCGTAAAAGACGAAATTATAGTCGAGCGGATTTTGTGCAACGAGAGACTACAGGAAAATAAGGATCTGATTGCGCATTTCTTTCTCAAACAAAAACTTGTGTTTGAGCTTACGATGTAGCTAGCTTTTCCTAAATATAGTGAAGAAAAAAGGTCTGGATTTCTAGGAAAAAATTTATGAAAATCAAATTGTAATCGAAACTAGCCTGCACCGATAGATGGCGAGTGTCTTTATCAATAAACCTGCAAGAGGCTGATTCGAAATAATTGTATAAGTTAAATCAAGAATCGAACGTATCAATGTCGTGATTTTGCTTCCTCATAGAGGAAGCTTTGTGATGGGCTCCATTTCGGCTTTTTTATAGAGTAATCGTAGGGTATATTTAATGATATTTCTATATACTAGATCGAATTTCTGACACATGTTGGTATGTATGTGTGTGTGTGTGTGCGGCTGTATGTCTGTGTAGAGTGATTCCTCGATAACGGTAGCACGTATCGTGACGGGGTTTGGCTTATTTTGTTCGTTATTATGTAAGGATGAAGCCAGAAAATTGTATTTAGCGATAAAGGAAGAAAAAAAAATTTTTTTTCGATTTTTAAAAATTTTTGGAAATTTTTTTATGTCTGTGTAGAGTGATTCCTCGATAACGGTAGCACGTATCGTGACGGGGGAGGGCTTTTTTTGTTCGTTATGATGTAAGGATGAAGCCAGAAAATTGTATTTAGCGATAAACGAAGAAAAAAAATTTTTTTTTCGATTTTTAAAAATTTTTTTTTACGGGAAAAATTTTTTTTGCGGGAAATTGTCGTTTTCTTCCTTTTGCTCCCTCATATAGGAAGTTTTGTGATGGGATACATTTAGGCTTTCGTATATAATTATCGTAGGATATATTTAATGATATTTCTATATACTAGATCGAATTTTTGACACATTTTGGAATGTATGTGGGTGTATGCGGCTGTATGGCTGTGTAGAGTGATTCCTTGATAACGGTAGCACGTATCGTGACGGGGGAGGGCTTATTTTTTTCGTTATGACATAGGGACGAAGCCAGAAAAATTCATTTATCGATAAACGTAACGTTTTTTTTTCTATTTAAGAAAAAAATTTTTTTTTTTTTGCATTGTTTGTTTGAGATACCCGATAAAGCTGAGAGGCGCTTTCGTTTCGCTTTCGTAATTAGAAAGATGATATTAATATTTTCAGATTATTTTTAAGTTAAAAAAAAAGTATGAGGAAGCTACTTGCCAATACATTGGCAGCGGTTTTATTATTTTTCCAACATTAATATGGTGATAGGTGAAACATTGAAGAGTCTACGAAAGGCTTCCTCAGAGGGATCTACAGTGGCTGCTCTGTGGGGGAGAATGGAGTAAACCACTCACGCAGAGACAGAGTAGAGCCCTTATAACAAACTATCCACGAGTTGTCACTTGCAGGTTTTTATGTAGCGATACTCGCCACCTTGCGGTGCAAGTCAGAATTAATTATAATTGACTTCCATTTAAAACTTGTAATTGGTATTGAAACTTAATATAGGATTATTAATATCGATACGAAAAAGTACTATATAATTCTATACAATTGAAATTTTTAGCGACGAAGAAAAGGAAAAATTATCAATGAAAATATAATTTTTCAAGCCTTTTCAAGCCTCGGCCACTAATAACACGTCCTCTGGGACTTTTTTTTGTTTTTCTCGGCCTATAGGGGAGTAATATATTATTTATCATTCAATCAAGTCCAAACTTGAAAAAGTGAATATGGAAAAATGTTATACCCTGGAAATGTTGAAAAAATTTTTCAGGGTTCATTTTCTCGCTAATTCAAGACTACAACTTTTAGAAAAATCATGAACGATCCCAAAATAACGCGTATACATAATTATCATCGCGTAAAAACTGCACAAAAGCTCGTTAGTAATTCAGAAGTAAGAAAAAGCCCGATACATTTGCGTGCGTGTTGCTGTCTTCTCGCTTCTTCGCAGCTTATTGCGCACTTTTAAAGTATCGTCGGATCGCTGATGTCGATAGTCAAGTGACAGGCAAGTGTTTTATTGGGACATATCTCGCTCGGACCAAAGGGAAGGCAAGAGAAAATCTCTCGTTCGCTCTCGTGCCTCGTAGTCGGGCTTTCAACCGCGATTTTTTTTTTTTTTTTTTGCTCTTCGTCCTGTCTCGACTGTCGCGGAATACGCGCGACACCACATGGGTCCACGCGACGTTAAGTAGTGGTTAACGTATAATATAGTAAGAGATTACGCGTGGTCCCTTCTGCAGCAGCATAATACACGCACACACAATAAAGGGTTTTCGCCCGCCTCGAAGCGAGTGCAAGAACTTCAATTAAAGGTAGGTATAGCAGCTCTCGCGCGCATTTATGCGTCGAGGTATATAAAAGGCACGCAACCCGTAAGAATTGCTATATACATGTGTGTGTATGCGCTAGTCTCTCCCTTGTCACTTAGCGCAGTATTATGTGTACGTGTGCATTGTATCAGATGCTCTCTCGCGCGCGCGAGCCAAGGTTGGTGGGGATCGAGAGAAAACAACATCTTTTCCGCATTCAGGCCATATCAGCGCGGCGATGGTAGTAGTAGCAGTAGCTGGTGGCGGTGGCGGCACCACTACAACAACCATAACTATACGCGCCAACGCAAAAGAGAGTTAGAATCATGGGAGCCAAAGGATAGCGCGGGATATAACGAAGCTGGAAGAACGAAGAACGAAGAAGAAGAGGAGGAAAAAAGGCAAAAGACGAGCGAGAGAGAGGAGAGAAAATGAAGCGATATATACTGCGTGCCTCGGTGCTTAAATTAACGTCGTTACGAGTAATTAAGCGTACTACTGTTGCTGCTGCTCTCTCGGCGATGTACTACCACTGCACACAGCTACTATATAGCTGCCTGCTCGTTATATACGTGCTGCTGTTGCTGCTGCTGGGTGCATATAAGACCTATCAACGCCAGCTGCAGCTTCGTTGTGTATATATACGTGAAACGTGTGTGTACAGCCTTTGGAGAATGGAGCTGCTGCGGAGGATACATAAACGACGGCTACGACTGCGGGAGAGAGAGAAAGAGAATATAAGAAAAAAAAAAGAAGAAAAAAAGTCCGGTAGGCAACTTTTTACCCCCGCGCGCGCTTAAATAGGCTCCGAGCTGCGAAATCTTATCTATTTACTTCTTACTTATGGAAGTCTGTGCAGCTACAGCAGTAGCAGTAGCTCTCGGTTCTTGCTTCGCAGAGAGAGAGAAGAATTTCCAGAGCAATATTGTAACGAGGAAGCTCGAGCGATCAGCTGCTTCATGTATCTTGGCTCGTCGAGCTTCAACGAGCTTTACACGAGATGTTTTCTCGAGCTCGATCGAAGTTCGGATCGATTGTATGGGTGGAAAGTCCTTATAGATAATGGAAGTAAATATGATTTTTAAAACAAGAAAATCTAGGCGCAAGCAAAAGTTAATTAGATTAGACCCTTCTATTACATCTCGAGGTATGCGCGTACTCGAACTGCAGCAGATAATGAAACCACATACGGGTCGCTTCGGGACATCTGTGAAGCCCGCATATCTGTATTATCATAGTCCTCTCCCTGCTGCATAGTATTATCAAAGGGATAATCAAAAGGATCGAGTAAGTAGGGACAAAGAAGAAACGAGAATATAAGCGCGATTTTTCAAAGTTTTCCTCGAGCTCGAAAAGAGCAAGAGTGCATAGTACGCGTGGGGCAACGGTTGCATTGTGTGTTGCTGCTGCTGGTGAGCGCTCATCGCGCGGGGGCGAGTATCGTGGGAAAAGTTACTGTTAAGCGATTAGTCGCTGACGTACTTTTCGCGCGTCTCTCTCCTCGCGCGCTCGCGATACATTTTTTTTTTCGGTGCGCGTGGATTTTACGTATATATATATATATTGCGCTCGTCGTTTAATTCGAGAAAGCTCCATGGCTTCTCTCGATAGAGTCGAAATACACGCGATTGGTAAATAAAATTTTCGCATACGTTCGCCGTCGTCTCACCTGAAGCGAGTGAATTTTACAGAAATGTACATAGCTGTAGCGTTGATATGAGGGTTTATCAATTGAGTCGTACGCGTAATTTTAATGACTTTATTTGTGAGGATGTATTATAGGATCGAAATCGGAGTCTTATGATATACGTTGTACATATAATATACATATTATATCTTTAACATGATTAAAGATAATTATTAATATTATAATATTAAGATAATGATACAATATATTGTAACAGTTAATATTTAAAAAATACTAATAAATACATACATCTAAATAAATACACTTATATACTAATCGCACACATTTTTGCCACTCGCGAGTTTACAATGCTCCATCTGTCGATCGGAACGAAAAGCTCGCGATCGAACGCGATACCGTCGATCACGACATCATTGCGTTACATATACAAAACAAGAATTCCGAAATGTTAATCCTTACACTCGCTATCATAAAATAAAAGAAACACCGATTTCCAAAATTAATTTCTACGCGGGCTTCGATGAGTTTATATTCTTGAAATTATCGTGTTCGCTCGTTTTTCACGGGCTAAACTAGCCCGAATTTCCATTAGAAACGTTTCACATCGAAAACAGTCCAAATTATTACAATCCGATCGATCTAGCATCGGAGGAGTCACGCATAATTGCTCGGGTGTATTTAGTTGTTTACCTTTGGCAATGATCTCAGGAGCTGGCTCGAGCTTTACGAGGTGCTAATCATTATTATATCATCGCCAGCCTGTGTGCACCTATGCAGCATTAGGAAAAGAGCATTGGACGCGCCGATTACCGTCGTTGCTTTTTGTCCATACACCTCTACGCTACACGAACACGCACAGCCGGTGCACAACGGGCGAGAGTTAACAGATGATAGCGCACCTACTTCTACATATATATAGGGCTCGACTCTCGACTCGCGAGCATCGTCATCGTAAACGAGCAGCGTGGCGCACTACTACTACTATATATACACCATACGATGATAAGTCGAGCGAGGCAAAAAATTGCCGGTTATAAAACATAACTGCGTGCCGAGAGCAGCAGCAGCAGTATATAGTCCAGGAAGTCCAAGAGCATAACTGCAGCGAGCTCTCTTATATAGCCTCTCTCTCTCTGGATGACTGCCGAGTAGAACTGCCGATCGTCGATCTCTCTCTCTGTCTATGTGTACGTGCGTGAGCAGTGATCACGGCACGCGGGTAGTAGGCCCCCGCCGCTGCACATCATGTGTGTTGTGTGTGTGTATATACTTTACTCGAAAGTGCTTATTTTTTGGCCTACTACCGCGAGCCAGAGATGATTTTATGATTTTATGTACATGTGTGTATACAGCTCTAGCTTTTACGCAGGCATGCCTACCGATCTACTCGCCTTACCGATCTAGATATTATTCCGCTACAGTTTTAATTATCGGCCGAAGCAGTAGTAAATAAGGCCGATATTATTACGATGGCTACTTTATGGCCGCTAACTGCTCGCGAGAGCTGCTGCGCTTTATACTACATTTTACTTTTTTTTCGTATACATATAGACTTAACCCCGGGATTATCGTCAATTATCGTATATGCATAATCATACGTGACCGCAGCTTGTACCGTTTTTTTAAGCTAACCGATTTTCTTCTTTGCAGTTTCTGTCGTCGTCGTCGAGCTCGGGGCAGGAGCAGCCAGATCAGCAGCAGCAGCAGCCTGCGGAAGACTACGTGGTGGCGCCTCCGGCCCTACGGATCGGTGACGAGTGCCAGCGCAATCGGGACTGCGACGCGGCGGTGCCGCGCTCGCGCTGCGAGCTCGGCTACTGCGCCTGCCAGGCCTACTTCGCGCCCTTCAACGGCACCCGATGCTTGGAGTGTGAGTATATTGCGCAATATCATTATTATCATCATTATGATTACGATGTATCGTTTACACGATCTCGATGATGACGACGACGACTCCCGCGTGAGCACGCACGTCTTACATAATTATCAAAGCGTATATGGTATAGCTGCTGAAATGCGCGGGAGAGAGAGAGAGAGAAAGAGCATCGAGAGTTCTTTGCCACCTTTATTATTCTCATCCGCGTGCAGGTTTTCCTTCCTCCGTATATACCTTCTCTCTCTCTCTTCGTAACCCTTCCTTCCTTCCTCCTATTCTTCCTTCGTTTATATATTCGTCCTTCTCGGTTCTTCTCACAACATACACACATTGCTGCACTTTCCCAGGATTTTTAATGCCGCAGCACGGAGTACTCGTTAAGCGCACGACGACGAGGACGACGATGCGCTCCATTCCTTCAAGATTTTTCCTCGCGATTAAGAGTATATAGTGTGTATAAGAGAGGCTCGCTGCTATCGTGTTAACTTTATCTCTCTTACTCTCTCTCTCTCTCTCTCTCTGGATGGATGCAGCTTATATATAGGGGGGCGATGAGACGTGAATACTTTATAATCGCAATTAAGGGCCCGGCGCAGAAGAAGAGGCGATATCCTTTTTTCTTTTTGTCAATTCGCGTCAAGACGCTAAGCTTATGCATAGAGAACTTTTATCGTTATTATATTTATTTATTTATTTGTGCATTTCTTGCAGCCAAGCTGTTGGGCAAGGACTGCCTCGTCGACGAACAGTGCACGCTGAGAGTGGGAAACAGCACCTGTCGCGAGAACGAGTGTCGCTGCCTCCATGGGTATCTAGAGTATCACGGCCACACGTGCTTGCCTCGTAAGTATATACATACGATACGAATAAAATGAATTATCGCTCGAGAAAAATTGCCGAAGTCGATCCGCGGGAAATTTGTTTTGCCCCGCGAGAGGGATCGAAAAACTGTTATGGTATTCAAAGAGCTATTAGGTGTATATTGTATGAGCTTTGAGAGCGAGCATCGACTCATGAGTCATGCCGCCCCGTCCGAACAAACGGATCATTAATGTGTATAGGGTATTATATACCCATCCTAGCTGCAATTTATGAAAACCGCAAAGGTACATTTGCGGTTTATTTACAGATACTCGCGCGTAAACAACGCCGATAATGTACGGTCTTTTGTTCGTTTCTGTTGTTTTTTTTTGTTCTTTCTTTCTTTCTCTCTTTTCTTCTTCCGAACGGATCGATCGATGATTTACTCGCGTGGTCGACGAGAAAGAGAAAAAAATGACACATAAGAATGTACGAAAAATATGTCATCTATTTGAAAAAATACGCCTTTCATCCTGCGCTTCTAATTTTAGATTTGTTAATCCCTATATAAATATTTCGCATTTTATCTGCCTTGTGTGTGTGTGTAGAAAAAATTGAGGCTGTAAAGGACGAAATTATAGTCAAGCGGATTTTGTGCAACGAGAGACTATAGGGAAATAAGGATATGATTGCGCATTTCTTTCTCAAACAAAAACTTGTGTTTGAGCTTACGATGTAGCTAGCTTTTCCTAAATATAGTGAAGAAAAATGGTCTGGATTTCTCGGAAAAAAGTTATGAAAATCAAATCGTAATCGAAACTAGCCTGCACCGATAGATGGCGAGTGTATTTATCAATAAACCTGCAAGAGTCTGATTCGAAATAATTGTATAAGTTAAATCAAGAATCGAACGTATCAATGTCGTGATTTTATTATTTTTCCAACATTAATATGGTGACTTACAAAAATTGAAGAGTTTACGGAAGGCTTCCTCAGACATTAATATGGTGATGTCAACTTTTGAAGAGTTTACGAAAGGCTTCTTCAGAGGGATCTACAGTGGCTGCTATGTGGGGGAGAATGGAGTAAACCACACACGTAGAGACAGAGTAGAGCCCTTATAACAAACTATCCACGAGTTGTCACTTGCAGATTTTCATGTAGCGATACTCGTCACCTTGCGGTACAAGTCAGAATTAATTATAATTGACTTCCGTTTTAAAAGTTATAATTGGTATTTCAAGTTATAATTGGTATTGAAATTTTATAAAATTAATATCGGATTAATAAATATCAATTAATAACTCACACTTGCATTAATAGCTCGCTTTTCCTAAACACAGCGAAAAAAAAAATAAAGCAAAATGCTTAAAATTAATAATGATCTAATAACAAAAAAATTATCATATTACATAATTAATACTGATTATGAGTCTGAATATCTCAGAAAAAGTTATGACAATTCAATCGTAATTGAAACTAGCCGTTATCGCTAGATGGCGAGTGTCTTTATCAATAAACCTGCAAGTGGCTGATTCGAAATAATTGTATAAGTTAAAACAAGAATCGAACGTATCAATGTCGTGATTTTATTATTTATAAAACATTAATATGGACATGTTTGAACAATTTGAAGGGCTTACGGAAGGCTTCCTCAGATGGGTTTAAAGTGGCTACTATTGCGGGTAGTCAGTTGAATGTAACATCTGACAGTTCAGGCAACACCCATTCAACTGACTGCCCAAAAAGGATCTTCGTTATTTTGATATAAACGAGGCTTTGTATGTGGGGGAGAAACAGAAGAATAGTGACCATTTACGTAGAAACAAAATATAGTCCTTATAACGAACCATCCACGAGTTGCCACTTGCAGGTTTTCATATAGCGATACTCGCCACCTTGCGGTAGAAGTCAGCATTAATTATAATTGACTTCTGTTTTAAAAGTTAAAATTGGAACCTCCTTGCGAGATACGGTAAGGCCGGGCGGGTCCCGGAATGAAAGTATTTCGACGGCAACGCGCTGCAGGGCGAACTAGAAGGCACGGATACAAACCTAGTTCAACGCAATTATTTATCAACTTCGATCTTGAATATATAAAGTCTTTGAAACATTTTTTGCCACTTGCGAATTTCCAATACTCTATCTGTTGGCGTAATTATAAAGCTCATAATTAAACATGGCACTATCGATAAAACTTGTCACGAGAAATGTTTATATTGCAAAGATCTTGCAGAAAAAAAATACAATGTTAGACAAATAAATAAATAGTAATAAATAACTACTGCATGTATCATTACCGATCTAGATTTTATTCTACGAACGGTAATTCAACTCGGAACAATTTTTCGATCGACTCGACAATAACCAAAACTTTTTCCCCGCCAGCGGCCAAACTGGGCCAGATCTGCTACAGCAACAAGCACTGCCAGCTCTGGGACAGCGACACGCACTGCGACTTTCTGCTGCCCGATCTGTTCGGCCGGTGCCAGTGCACGGCGCCGATGCGCCAGGACGGCGACGTCTGCCGGCCCGACGAGCTGGTGAGGCCCGCGGCACCCATGACCTCGCAACCGGCCCGCAACGCCAACGACAACGAGGTCGACTTCGACGACAAGCGCAGCTACAATCTCACGCCCCAGTCGGACGACGACGATGCCGGTATATATATGATATTTACGTAATTTAGCGTAGAAAAAAAATATTTATTATATCATTTTTCGTATTCGCGCAGGTGCTCAGTTGTCTTGGTTGAGAAACGCGACGATGCTGCTGTCGACGGTGGCACCCACTCAGCTGATGCCGATGAACCTCGTGACCAGGCCCTCGGTGCGGGCTGAGCTTCAGCCGAACGAGCTGCCCGTGGACGACTCGATCGTCGTCGAGGCGGAGAACACGGAGCTCGCTCAGTCGATGCCGACTTCAAGTGAGACACATCATTATTACCCATTAAAATTTTTTTTTTCTAAAACAATTACATGTACCGTAACACACCGCACGCGAACTGCGTTACAGTAGCAGTCGGACCCCAGCAATCGGCCATCAAGACCGACCGCCACGACGAGGCGGGCGCCCTCAATCTGTCGCCCGTGTCTCTCGGCCAGGCCTGCTTCCTCGATCTCGAGTGCAAGCTCGCCGACCCGAACTCGCGCTGCCACGACGGCGCGTGCGACTGCGCGCTGCGCGCCAGCAACGGCACCTGGTGCAGCGCCAGGCGCACCGGCTGCGCCCCGGGCACGTTCCAGTGTCGCGCCACCGGCCAGTGCATCAGCTGGTACTTCGTCTGCGACGGCAAGCAGCACTGCCCCGACGGCAGCGACGAGGAGTGCCAGCTGGGCCGGGGCCGCTCCAAGTGTCCCGAGCAGGCCTTCAAGTGTCACTCGAGCGGTAGGTGCGTCTCGAGGGCGGCCCTCTGCGACGGCGTCAAGGACTGCCCCAACAACGAGGACGAGCAGGCTTGCGGCGATCGAAGACGTACGTATATATGATAGTTGTTGCTTATTGAGCTTTTGAGTCAGAATTAAGTATCGTGCGATTCACGATTAAAAGATGACGAATTATACTGTCAAAATTTGAGCGCGTATGATTTTATGTACAGTTATACAAAAAATTATGTACTACATTGTTAAGAATATGCACATGAACATGAATGTAGTATAGTGGAGAGATTTTTTTGCATCTATCCAGATGAGTTCAATTTCATACTGAGCCATTAAAATTAATGTAACGTTATTTACATTAACATTTTTAATTTGACGATTTAATTTCTAGAGCAATTAAAACCATTCTATACAAGCGCTTTGACTTATACAATTATTTTCACTTTGCCACTTGCAGAATCACAGATAAATATATACGCCATCTAGTGGTCGAGCCTGACTTTAACTATGATTGAATTTTTCAAGCCAAAACATCAATCAGTATTTAAATTTAAGTACAGAATTAAATCTCTTTTTTTCGTTTGTGCATTATAATTAAAGTATTTGATTGCTGTCTCGTATATTTTTTATAGTTAATGGGAAAAAATAAATCGCTACTTATACTTACATTTTCAACATAGATTTCATACGAAAGTACTTTGAATAGAGTTCAATATAAATAACATTAATATAAAAGTCTGGGCTTACATAAAATTGGCACTAAATTCAAGTTCTTTTTTCGCAGAAGCTGTATTGGTACTTTTACAGTTTTATAAAAGTACAATATTTTCGGCTCATGCTTTTTAAGGAGATCCGTACCTCGGCTAAAAATTAAAATTTTCAAACGTGTTTTCTGAAACTGCACTAACAAGGAGACCACATGAGATGCGGGTCACCAAATGGGCCTGAGGGCCCATTGGATCAAACTAAGCATAGGGGGCTTCATTATTAGGTACCAGCAGACCAGAAAAAAAATTTCAGGACATTTGGTGACCCGCATCTCATGTGGTCTCCTTGTAAGTGCTAAAATGCTCTATAGGAACCTTAAGAACATTGAAATTAAGATTGCCACAAAGCCTTTTAAAGAAATATTAAGCAAAAAATTGAAAAGCTCGTTAAAAATCTCAAAGTGTCATTTTTCAAATTTTCACTTTCAAAAAAAATGTCAAGTCCTCGATTTTGATTATATCTATCCAATTTCACAGGATGCCCGGAGGGCGCGTTCCGCTGCAACAACGGCCAGTGCCTGCCGGCCTACGAGTTCTGCAACGCGGTGGTCTCCTGCCGGGACGGGAGCGACGAGCCGCGCGCCGCCTGCCGCACGCGCAACCGTAGCCGCCTGTCGGCCAACCGATTCTGCCCGTTCCGATGCGCCAACGGGCGCTGCCGCTCCGACGCCATCACCTGCAGCGGCAAGGACGGCTGCGGCGACAACTCCGACGAGATACATTGCAACGTTTGCAGTGAGTATATATATATTAGTCGACGACAAATGAAGTAATTATAATTCTCATTATTTTTTTTTTCTTTCCCAGAATGCCCTCCTTTACTGCACGATTTGGAGTTTAGACGAGCCGCTGCGGCGTAATTAGAACATCGATTGCGCTTCGAACGATCATCACCATGCTCTTCCGCTATTTAGTAATCGCGCGGTGCNACGTATTCGATACCAATTATAAAGAAATTTGCCGATTTAAGAATGAACGATCTTCAATCGTTTCCAACAGCCAACTGAGACGATGGTATGAACGTTGGCTTATACCATATTAGTGTGAATACTCGAGCGCTTGGGTGCAGCGCAGGGATTCCCTCAGCAGCGGTACTAAAACTGACTCACATAAAAGTGCGGTTAAAAACTGCGGGTTTGATATACAGGGTGCGGCAAAGTATGGAGACACCTGAAAATTTCGCATAATAAGCGTAGAAAAAAATCAAAAACCTCATAACCGACGTATTTTTCGATGAGGAATCCAATGGTGACCTTGAATTTGATCTTGAACATAACCTTTAAGCTCCAGCGACCCAAAAATCGATTTTTCAAATGGAACCCCCACTTTTTTATTGCAGATTTGAAAAGAGCACAAAAATTTTCGTTGAAACATGTATTTTGTTTTTTTTTCAAGGTCATTTTAAGGGCGTTATAGACGCAAATAAAACCCCAATTTAACCTAAAATTAAGTTCTTAAATTTTCAGGTGTCTCCATATTTTTGTCGCACCCTGTATATATCCTAATTGTAATAGAAAAATCGCCAAATTGAAAAGTTTTTATGAGCTTTATCACACAAGCAGAAAAAATTTTCTCAATGTGTATACTTATTTTAAATATTAATACTTCAATCATTCTAAATTGAGGTTCATTGAATTTTCGAAATATCTGCAGTTTGATTTTTCATCTAATTATTAAAAAGCATTTGGATCAGCGGTTGTCAATCTTGTTATCGTGTCAATTTAACCCTTGCTACGGTCTGGCAGTAATATTGACGCTCGTAGAATAACCATTACATCCAATATAAACTTATAAATTGATTGATTATGTCTTCAAAAACTGTTAAATAGCTGATGCCTAGCGTCTTGAACATTGGCATGATAATACTGACTAAATTCAAGTCGTAGCAGAATCAATAAATTCTTTTTTCATCGACTAAAGTAACCGATCAAAAATTGATCTTGTTTATTAATTATAAATCTTTATATTTCATTGAGCAGTAACATCGAGGATCGACAACTACGGCGGCAACATAGGAGATAAAAAAAGCTGGTCCTATTCGTACAGTGCGGATTGGCATCGTACATCGGTGTTCGTCGGCATCGGCAACTTGTGGCATCGCATCATTTGGAATTCGGCATCCGCCACCGTTGATCATTGTCAGTTAACCGAGCATCGTAGTATGGCAGATCGACATAAGTAATCGACGGGCATCGCGGCAATGCAAGAAAAATAAAACTAAGTATTTCACTCGGAAATCAATAAAAATTAGTGCGTTATCAAATATTTTCGGTAAATGTAACATCGGATCATCCGCTTAGTTCCCCGAGCAAACCGTTTTTTAAACTTTCCTACCACGTTGTGCACATTCAGAAACGAAATTCAGAGGCGGATATTTAAACGTTTCTGGAGGGTTCTACAAAAGTTTTTTACACTTTTATTCTGAAAAGTTCCAAGGTCTCATATTAAACGTTTCAGTAACGTTATAAAAACGTATACGTACTCGTAAAGAGTAAAATACACAATACTGAAACTTAACTAACTTATACAATGATTTTTACTTTGCCATTTGCAGATTTACAGATAAAGGTACTCGCCATCTAGCGGTGGAGACTCAAAGTGGAATTATCGCATTCAAAGTAGTTGAAAATTGTTCAATATCTTATTTTGAATCATAGATTGATAATAATCGATTACTTGAAATATCTTGTTTTCGCTACGGATTTATTTCATGAGCATTTATTTATTTCACCATGCCTAGCATTTTTTCCACGTAAATTTCGCGTTGATACCTTTGTCAATGAATACAATTCAAACTTTGAAAACAACTTTATCACAATTAATTTATGATTATGAATATTTCAGATGTTTGTTTACAATAGGTTGATGTTCAGTTCATGTATTGTTTTTTAAAAGTCACTTATGCACTTATGTCACTTATGTGATTGCACACGCGCACGTTAAAACTCAGTGACAGTGACACGAAAATCGATCGCGAACTGCGACTTCAAAATAAAATAAAACAAAGGAACATTAATAAGTGATTTATAACCATTACATCCTGCGTAGACTTTTAAGTTGGTAGTCTTTTACAGATTGATCTTATGCCTTCAAAAATTTCACTGAAGCTATCGGTACCAGCTCAACTATTTTTGTACAGTTAGCTATTAAAAGCTTTTCAGTATTTCATATGGTTGATATTTAATGGTTGCATCTTGTTTTTTTGTAGTAAATTCATGAACTGTTGTATTTTTTGTTCACGATTTCAATTGTACGATAGTTATTAAAGCCGTAATGTAGGATAAAGATAATCTAATAATCTAAAATAAGGGAAATAAATATGTAATTTTTTGATACTTGACTGCAATTTTCATAGTTACATTTCCACTCGTCTCAAAATGGAAAACTACGTTGGGGCCAATTGTCATACAAGAAGGCCGACTGGCTCTCAGCATCATTATTTGTATCATCCTTCTGATTTTTGGTGAAAATTTATACCATTCAGTACGGTAACTGTTGTTAAATAATACATTTTATTATTTTCGTACTCAGAACAAAATGTTTTTTTAAGCTCAAACAATATGTATCAAACCAATCGTAGTATATTTCTCCGCTACTATCGTAAACTTGCTGTGTAATATAACCGCATGAGATCAAAAATTCTGCATGCAATACGAAAGCAAAGACCATTTTCATTGCGATGTGTGTATTTTTTTGAAAATTAATTGCTATCTACAATACAAGAATAGATATTAAAAAAAAATTTTTTCCAATTTAAACTGTAATTTATGCATTTTTACCAAAGTTACCAGCAACGCTGCTGGAGAAGATTACGCACATTACAAAAACCAAAAATAAATTACTGGCCAAATTATTGATTATATTAGCAAAACTGAAAGTAAAAAAAAATGATTGTCAGACATTCTTTCTTCAACAGCAATTTATAATAAGGTACATGATGGGTTTTAAAATTTTATTTGTAAGAAAAATGTGTATGATAATTAAACACAAATAATAAGTTGCACACTCAACTGTAGATTATATTGATGTAATTTAATTAGCTGATGCATACGATTGTGACTCACTTCATGATCTTCTTTACTGAGTGTTACTTTGGTTTGAGAAAAATCTGACATTTTGTGTAGCTTAAAACTATGTGAAATCAAAAAACGTAATTATTAACTGTAATCAACTTAAAATTAAAATGATTAAGTTGAGCGATATATGTTTAAAATACCTAACGTATTTGAATCTGCCAATAACAAAGTAAGTTGAAGTCAAATATAAAGTTCCCAAACCAAAAATAGAAATTTGCAGAGAAAAACACAAAAGCAACGTTACGAAAAAAATGTAGTAAAAATGTTGGTCTTCATTAATGAATAATTCAAGGTGAACGGACAACATTTTTTCAAATGTGCGATTTCCCGGTAAAATCAAATTAGCTGCCAGCGGCCAAACCACTGGTAGCACAATGTATGAATTATAAAATCCACACATAAGAGCTAATAAATAATAGGCATTATTCTTATAGGTGTATATATAATATAAATTATTTGAAAATGTACCTCCCAAAACGAGAGTAAAGAAACGGGAATCATTAATATATTTCTGTAAAAATGTCAACTCTTCAGAACTACTTTGACTCCAATTAGTCATCATCGATTCTAAAATTTGTTTTACCTATGCAAACAAAACTTTTAAAAATATGAGATTATTTTAACCTTGCGTTTATTTTCATTAAAATCATAGAAAATATTCTGGTTTTTTTAGATTCACCATGGAAGACCCTTGCATTGTAAAAGTCAAAAAATATGTAGCAGATGCACGCAAAAAAGTGCCATAAAATGATAGACTATATCCACGACTGTAACATCATCTAATTCATGTATGTTTTTTTTCTCTACTGCATAAATTATCTGTAAATTGCATATATTATCGATAAACATGTAGGTTGAATTAAAATAATTTATATTACCATAGATGCACAGAATGCAGTATCCATAAAAATTACAAATCATTCTATCCCATACTTTATCTTACCAGTCAAATAGGGCCATAAGATCGAAGCTTTCATCAACATAACTAGTACAGGACACATTTTCACTGCTAATTTTTCGATACTTAACTCATTCATAAATGATGATTGTTTCAGGTCTTTATTATATTATTTATTCCAGCAAACGAACATCTTGATATCATATTTATGTAGTAATTCTACGCTCACATGTGTATAATAAACAACTGGTGCATAATATTTTTTTCTTCAACAGTTAGGTTTTAAAACTATTGAACATAATGTTTTTTTTACCTGTCGCATGTGCATTGATTTTCATTAACATTTTAAATGGTATACTTTAATGTTTTTATAAAAAAGCCTTTTGTTGTTTTATTTTGCTTTCTGTATCAACATTACTTAGTTACTTAAAATTATTATTTCCATCATAAATTTTTAAGTTATCATAGACTTTTAAATACCAAAAATTTGTTCAACTCTAAATTATTATTTCGGTACAAAATCGTTGTCTATTATGAATTTAATAATTTATGTTCATTCATATAATTATGAATAATTCAGAAATTTACTTATGGACGGTTAATGTCAGCAGTTCGTTTATTGTACATGGTTTGTCGTGTGATTGATTTACGCTAATGCAGAATTGCTGAGCAGGCTCGACTGAGGAAAAAGAAAGGCGCCTCGTGAAGAGGTACGCGAAGAGCGCTGATCAAGGCTAAAATGAGAATTCACAATTACGACTTTTCTTTTTTTGTCGATGAGTTGTAAATAAATTTAAACTTTAACTATATATTTGGGAAAATAATAAATCTGTTAAATTTTTGAAGAATATATTTTATGACATCGTATGTACACGAGTTTATTACATACTCGATAACTCATCACTCTGTACTGACAGCATCATATAACGCTGATGCCGTAGCTTAGAGTCTCATGGGAAAATTTTTGCTTACAAATTTGCTCGTTTTTAAAAGTTAAGAATTTGTTTTTGGAATGAAATTATGTTTGTTAAAACTGTTGCGAATATTTACATTAGGAATAATGTAAAAGTAGAGAAAGTTTTTTCATTCACTTAGACGAATCAATTTTCAGCTAAAATTATTCAAATTAATGTAATTTGAATTAAATTTTATTTTTTTCTTATGAGACATTAAACATGAATATTTAAAGTAAAATTCGTTAAACAATCTTTAAGACCGAAGAACACTGTTATTGCTTTGGTTTATTATACAATTACTTTGACTTTGCCACTTGCAGATTGATAGATTAAGATACCTGCCATCTAGCGGTGTTTGGCTTCAATTTTGATTCAATTTTCATGAACTTTTTTTAGCAATCAACGCAGCAAATAAACCCCTAATTTTCTGAGCAGTTTGTGTAAAAAATCAGTACAGATTTGCTATAAATATAAGATTTTTCCAACAGTTTATGACATAAATATCATATAATCTTTATTCATACTCATCCAACTTTTAGTAGAAATTTTGTAAATTTCTCAATGAATTTTTCACATTTCACATAAACATACCAATCGATCAGTATCAGTAATTTTAATTATTTTGAAAAAGGAATCGTCGATAGTGTCACTTTGAATATTTACTCGCGAATAAACAAGTATTCTCGCGTGCGCATAAAGTAGCTTGCGCAATTCTTCAAAGGACGGAGAGCGAGTTCTTAGTGTACGCGACGAATGATATTGTCGTGACTGATGCGTTCAATGCGCATACAAATTATTTCCGGACCAGACCGTGTGTACACTATCTGCGTGACTGCGTGTCGACGAGCCTCGTGTGCACTTCGCACAATTGAATACTCGCACGATAAGCTTGGAAGTCGAACTTTTGTACGATGGACAAGACGTAAAAAAATGTTGTTGGTTTTCAGGTTTTCTAAACTTTGAAGCAACTTAAGTTTGGTGCAAGTTTTCTTAAGTTTTTCATTCAAAAATTTACTTTTCGAACTCTCGCCAACACTAATTCAAAACCAATCCGCGCACACATTTTTTCATCGATTATAAGCCCGATTTCTTCTATTAAAGTGCGCAAACTTACATCGCTTACATCCACACATACATGAATCCGTTTGCACATAAACTTATCCCCGAACAGTCACACGCTACACGATTTTCTACGCCTTGTCGCAAACACCCTACTGAACACGATAAAAAAAAATTTAATCACTCCCATAAGAAATGATTTATCAGCGTATGACAGCATCTCTGACAAATTTGTGTTTATTGCCTATTTTAAGCGAGATTAGTTAGTGCATACGAATATCAACAAAACAATGCATGTACATGAAAAAAAAAACAAAGTTAACTAACTAACCTCGCTTAAAATATATAAACACAAATATTTCACAGATGCTATTATACGCGGATAGATCATTCCTCATTAAAGTGACTTAATTTTTTTTTTGTCTTCAGAAGGGTGTGTGAGTTTCGGTGTTCGTGACAAGGCTTAGAAAATCGTGGGTGACTGGGTGATAAGTTCATGTGCAAACGGATTTGTGTATGTGTCGATGTAAGCGTAGAAAAAGGGCTTGTAATCGATGAAAAAATATGTGTGTGGATTTGTTTTTGAATTAGTGTTTGCGCGAGTCCGGAGTGTAATTTTTTTTCGAATTTTACAAAAATTTAAAAAAATGGAGAAAATGTAGTCGATGTTTTGCAAAGTTATTTTTCGCAAGTTTTTTCAAAAACATTTTTCTCCAACGTTTCACTGAGTCTCAATGACAAACTTATAAAAACTTGCATCGAGTATAAGTTGCGTCAAAGTTTAGAAAACCTGAAAACTGACTAAAAAATTTTTACGCGGGTAGGTTTGAAAATTCATTTCAAAATTTTACATTGACTTCAAAAATTTAATCAACGTTCGAGAAACTTCATTTTTGTAAATCAATCTTTTTGCCGAGCAAGAAGTTTCCATTATCCTCTACTCAGCGAGTTGTTTCCCATAAAGCTGAGCTTGCATTTTTCGCGCATAGGTATGTTTCGCGCAACAGAGGGGTACCGCGACGACGACGATATGATACGCTCCGCGCGAGGAGAAGGTAAAATGGAAGGGATGAAGTGCAGAGAGCGGTATTAGTCTTGCGCATTCGGCGCGTCGTGTGTTGCTGCTGCTGCTGCTGCCGCTGGCTATAGTATCACGAGAACTCTGGTCTAGCTTCCGAGTGCAGCTGCTACTGCAGAGCAAGTGTGTGTTCGCGCACAGAGCTCGGAAAACATATTATTTTTTTTTTAATTTTGCACGACCTCTCGCTGTTACAACGACAGCAACGACGACGAAATTCTATAAAAAGTGGGCGTGAAATCAAAGTCCGATCATATTCGCGCGTGAATTCAGCCGTGTGTGCGTGCATTCGACGTGATATGCGATGACTGCGGAGCTTTTGACCCCACGCGAGCTTGTCAGGTTAGTAAGTAAGTAGAGCTTATTGAGAGCTTGCGCTGCTGCTGATAGGGTATAGCATGTCTCAATTGTAAACGAACACGTGAATACGAGAAATTGATTCGGAAGTCAACATCCTCGAATCGGCTTTTCAGAAGTGCTTTGCTTATGCACTTTGGTGTGCACTTTCTCGTGACACAGATCCGTAAAATTTTATCGCGCGGACATAAAAATAGCTTTTATTGCTCTATATGCGGCGTTTATGTATGTCTTGATTTTATTTTCGGTAAGGATTTCGTTGAATCAAAAATATTATTGAACTTGTTTCAAACCCGACGTTGACAGTCATGTTTGTCGCGACGTTATTTTAAACTCTCGTATCTTATATCTATGTTTCTACTCGATATTATGGATTTTACTTTACAACCACTTCGCGAAAAATTGACCTTCGTGTGGACTTACAGTACGCGTATGAAAATTAGCGGCTATTATTTTTTTACGTTGTGCGACAGATTTGTTTTCTATTGATTCGAAAATTGATGATATATTAATGTTGAATTGCTGTGTTCCGCTTTAATTTTTAATTCAGAAAGTTTGAGCTCAATGTAAAATTTAAATACTGGAATAGATTTTATAATTAGATAAACAAAATCATTTATGATGATAATTTTAATACTAATTCTTTGATTCAAACTTTCATTGCATTCGACATAGAAAATTTTCCGAGCACAGAACGTATTTCCTTTGATAATTTATCGCCGCATGATTAGAATGGTACATATAACACTATCGATTATGAAAATTCAAAGTCGTGAAAGCGTCATACGCATTATCTTTATGGAAGTGTAAAATATTAATCTTCCAGATCTATTGAAGTGAGTAATTTTCTATTGAAATTTGCGACATCGGTGATGCTATAATTCGAAGAGCAATTATGAAGTACATTCTCCATTGTTGCGAAATGACTTATTAAAGATAGGAAAATTATGAATTGAAGCTTCGTCTTCGGTAATAAATCGATACTTAATTCATAGAAAATATGCCAACAATTAAACTACACTATTAATTTTATAATTATGCAAGCAACGAATAAAATGTGGCAAACGTTATCTCTTTAAAGCGAATCACAGAAGTCGCGGTGCCAGAGGAAGAGGAAAACGATAAAAGATACTTGCATCGGTCGGAGTTGATGATAATGATGACAGGGGACAAAGGATAACTTCAAAGAATGTGGAAACCTAAATGTCCGAAAATAAGTGACATCTTTGGTCGACCCCAAAGCTTCGTATTGATACTTCTGCCTTTCATTTTGATCTTAACCCTGTATTGGATTACCGATAACGAGCCGAATTATGAAAAAATACAGTATCTGTCTCTGCACGCACAAAATGTGTCAAGCGATGGTGAGTAAAACAAAAATAACGTCGCAGTTGTTGACGCCTTTGTATACAATTATAAAAATTAGTGTGAAATTACATATCTATATGAATGAGGTTACACGAGTAGATTGTTTCAATGACTCTCATTTAATTTCCACTGCTTTTGTTCCCTTAGTTGAATAATTTACCTTTGTGTTTTAATACTCTTACATTTTTTTAATTTCATAATTTAAATGTGTCATATTATTTATAATTTTAAGTTAAACGAGAAATTTTCAACATTTTTTTAAAATTACTTGGTAAATACATTTTTTTTCAAAAATTTTGATAATTAATGTTTTAATTTAAATTAGAATAAAAATCTTGAATTCTCAAAAAATAAGAAAAATAGAAATGATAACACCAATGCATCAATGCATATTAATTATGAATTTCGTATTATTAGAAATAGTCGAAGGATATCTTGTTTGGAATCCAAAATGCCACATCGCTTCGAAAAAACCACTGGATCCATCGATTATAAAATTTGTAAAAAGAGAAAAGTTTGTGAAATGTTCAACGACACCTGCGTTGACAAGCGTCAAACGAAGTTCAAATGGAAGTGTCTTCTTAGTTATTGATCCAAAAGTGGCGAAAAATCATAAAAATCTATCGTGCTGTTGGGCTCCCATCATTCGACCGTGCGATACCTACAAGTATGCCTTCGATAAGGACTGCGATTCAAAATTCAGGTTAGTTCTGATATAATATTTAATTTACCTTGCGTTTATTTTTCTTCGCGATCAATCATAATCTTGGTATAAATGCTCAACATTTTATGGATAATTGTTGGCTAACGAAAAAATTTATTGAAAAAGGATCGTTAACACAATATGCTCGCATGTTAACATTTTTTAAAACATTTATTTGACTTATACGTTATTTTCACTTTGCCACTTGCTGATTTACAAATAAAAATACTCGCCATCTAGTGGTAGAGGGTTTAAGTAGTATACTATACTAAGTAATGAAAAACTGATTTGAATTTTTTTTGAACAGTAATATTGTCATCTTCAGTTTTTTAAAATTACGTTTAATATTTATAATATAATTAGGACGAAAAATTCGCCAAAAACAAGCAAGTTAATGACAATGTTGAAATATTTAAAAAATGTTGAACGGAAAGGTTTTTGGTTATTACATCATTATTAGTTTTGAGCATTTTTGCCAGAGAATGGAGATCTTTATTAATTTACTATAACGAGCATTGTGTTCATTTCAAGTCACTTTTGACAAATAATCACTGCGACTTGTTAATTATCAGAAGGTTTTGTACAATAATGTAATTGTTTTACGAACACGTTTTACACTGTAACGAATACAACCTTGACATCATTGTTAATAAATATAAATAGCGAGCGTATGATGTATATGAAATCAATGTAGCGTATATATTTATTAAAATTGATATCGATTTATCAGCACTTAAGATGAAAACCTTAATTAAATACTCGGTTATCGATAAAAATAAACTATGCTAAAGAGTACATTTTACGATCGACAATTTTTCATCACAACATTGAAAAATGTTCACTATCAGCAAGATCGATATTCTTTTCTGTAAATAATTTTTTGTTTCATCATGCCAGACACGTGCGCGCATGGTTATTAGGAAGTATCGGATACAACGAAGCAATTTAACCGCTGCTACACAGTCGCGTTAGGTTGAATTTGACGCATTGCCGCAGTAGTACTGCAGACGCGAAACGGCGGCACCAATTTTAAAACTTTGCAGTATAGTGCGCATTCGACGTTTTTATAGAAAGTAAACGAGAGAATGAAGATTGACTCGTTGTAATTCTATCCTAGAGCTCGGTCGTGACTGCGGATCTTTAAATATCCGTTCGTTGATTGCTATAGAAGTTATAAAAGTATCATTGATTAATTGTTCATGCATTTCTTCGCAGTCTCGGCGCCTGCGAGGATTTCACGGACACGCTCGTCGTTCCCGGCTACGTCGACAGTCTCAGCGTGACCTGTCGAAATGCGAAGCTCAAAAAGTCCCCGGAAGTCAAAGTCAAGGGAAAAGTCAAAGTGCCTAAACGCTCGAACAACGGCGTCGTCTACGAGAACGTCCACGCCGTGCTGAGTCTGGATCGCGTCCAGGATCGCCTGAACGAAACGCATCATCGGTATCCTCGTCTAGGCTTCAACGATGGCTTGACAACGACGACGAACAACAACAACAACAACAAGCGTCCGCTTAGCGTACTCATGCTCGGAATAGACAGCGTCTCACGGCTAAATTTCCATCGCACGATGCTGCTTACGAAGGAGTTCTTCGACGAGCGGGGTTGGCTGGAATTGCGAGGCTACAACAAGATGGGTGACAACACCTTTCCCAATTTGATGGCTTTTCTCACGGGACAGAATCAGACGACGGCGTACGCCCGATGCAAGCCCAAGACCTCGTTCGGTCTGGACAATTGCTCGATGATATGGTACAATTTTCGGGATGCTGGATATGTCACGGCTTACGGAGAGGATCACGCCTCCATCAGTACTTTCAACTATCTCAAGGTAGGAAAATTATTATTATTATTTTTTTTACTAAGCCTATTATAATCTATTTATAAATATTTTACAGCTGGGATTCGTCCAACCTCCGACGGACTATTACATGCGACCCTACATCCTGGCATCCGAAAAACGCCTGAAAACTGTCAATCGTTTCAACAGCCGATACTGCTCGGGTCCCGAGCTCGCCGTCGATCGTATCTTCGACTTCGGCGTCGAGTTCGCCAAAACGTTCTCCTCGACCTCGCCCACCACTCCCTACTTCGGCTTCTTCTGGACCAACAGCATCAGCCACGAGTACATGAACGGGCCGTCGGCCTACGACGCCCACTTCCTCGACAAGCTCCTGGACATGGAGTCGGCGGGAGTGATGAACGACACGATGATCGTCGCGCTGAGCGATCACGGCATGCGATTCGGCGACATCCGAGGCACGTTCGTCGGCTGGTACGAGGAGAGGCTGCCGTTCATCTACCTGTGGCTGCCCGAGTGGTTCAGGCTCGGCAACCCCGAGGAGTACGCGGCATTGAGGCAGAATCAGAATCGACTGACGTCGCCCTACGATCTGTACGAGACGTTTCGGGATATCTTGGGGCGTGCCGGAGGACAGGCCGGGCCGAGCAGCGGCTGTCCCAAGTGCACGACGCTGTTCAGGCCGGTGCCGCACGTGAGAAGCTGCGCCGACGCCGGTATAGCGCCGCACTGGTGCACCTGCACGAGTTTCAAACCCGCGGACCCGAAGGACAAGGTTGTGATCGAGGGAGCGCATCAGTTCGTCGAGCACATAGATGACCTCGTGAAGAAATACAAGACGAAGAAGGGCAAGAGGAAGTGCGCCAAGATGAGGCTGAAGCGAATAATCCGAGTGAGCGAGATCGTGGACTTGGAGCGCGACGAGAGCGACAAGGACTATCTGAAGCTGTTTTACCTGCTGGAGGTGATGCCGGGCGGTGGCCAGTTCGAGACCACCATCAAGTATTACGAGCCCGGCAACTGGACGATTCTGGACGAGCAAGTGAGCCGCATCAATCTGTACGGGCACAGCGCGAGATGCCTGGACGAGGGATACAAGCAGTATTGCCATTGCATATGAGCGAAAATCAGGGGCTCTACTTGAAAGTGATAAAATAAAAATAATGATAAAGCACGAAAACGAACGCTTAGGCTAATTAGGCTGAACTTTAAACTATATAGTTGTAATAACGAGAGCTGTTGAATTTATTTTTTTGTACAGTCTTTTTATACCGTTAGAAGTAAGCATTACCCGAGAATAATTATACTTTTTTTTAGTTGTAATGCGTTAGAGAAATGTATTAAGTCACTTGTTACTTATGCCGAGTCAGCCGATAAAGCAATTGAACTCGACTGCAATTAGAAAAGTTTCAGAATCGTTTGACTATTTTTCTAAAAAATAGTTTGACTAAACTAATCGCCGAGTAGAAAGCGCGAATCTATTGACGAAATTGTTGTATACGCTGAATGAAAAACTAATCAGTGTTTTTTACATAAGGTTCTTGTATACTTTCGAAATTTTTGTCAATGAAAAATGTATGATGAACCCTAGTAGACATTTTCAACATGATTAATAAAACATAACCATTTGGATTTTTTAAAATAGACTTGTTTTTGAAGAGTTTTTTGTCTCGATTATGTTAGATATATTAGCTCCATTTAAATGCCTTGAAAATAACAATTAAATATTTTCAAAAAAGAAGCTTAGACCAGTTTTCTTTCTCTTCCACTGTAATAATTATGGCATCCATCGCTAGATGGCAAGTATCTCTATCTGTAAATCTGCAAGTGTCAAAGTCATTTAAATGTATGATTATTCAAAACTCGATTTCAAAGTTTTAGTTACGTCCTTACGACGTATTGTCATTAAATAGCAAAAGAACTTGAAGCCTTATCTAAACATACAATGTTGAGAATTTCTATCAGGGTGCCATGGTATAATTTCGCATGTTTGCATCTGTACTGTGGCCAAAAAGCGCAATCCATTGTAATCTATATAAATCTATCATCATGCCAACAATATAATATTTTCCACAGCAAACTAACTTTCAACTGAACTGAACTTATGAAAAAGGGTTAAAATGAATCAAAAGATTTTCTATATACAATATACATATTAAAACTTCGGCTTTCACAGCTACGATCCAAATGATCGTATGTAAAATATTTTTGCCAACGAAATCGAAACGTTAATATGAATAAAAAATTTAAAATACTTATTAAAACGTATTTTTGTCGATCAACTATTCTTTATAAAGCAAAAATGCGAGTGGTAAAAATTTCGTAAAATAACGATTGATTTTGTCTATTATTTATCGAGAAAATAGCAAAAAAACTAAAATATGTTCGATTTTCAGTTATACTTATCATAAGTAATTGTAGTTTTATTAGCCCTTTAAATTCATTAAAATGTAGGTTTCTTACGACAAAAATAATAATTAATTACGATTTAAAATCGGCTATATGGTTTCTGAGTTCCAATAATGTGTTACTAATAACGCTTCATTGCAGCTACGGTCTATTTGTTGTAACAATAGCGAGTTCGGTTAACGCTCCATATAAAGTTTCGGACTTATGCTCATAATTGGCGAAAAGTTTTAGACTGAAAATCAAAAAAATACACTCTAAATATTGCGATGGAAATTCAGTATCTTTTGTTGCTATAAACGAATAGATGTATAGGGCTTTCGAAGCGGAAGTAGAATAAAAAAAGTCTCGGATTTGAATTTGAGATGCGTCTATCTCTCATCTGAATGTGAATTGCGTTTTTTTGCACGATATGGAGAAAGATGTTTGAGTAGTAAAAGAAATAACAAAAAATTTTACGGGCGTGTGATTTGAAATGATATTGTATATTTTTGAAAATACAATTCTTATTTAATTCATATCATCATTTCTTTTTGAACTTCGACTGGTTGAACTAGACCCTCCACGTATGATTGTTCGCAAAAATTAAATAAATCTTTTTCACTCATTTGATCGGCAATTTGACAAAAATATACAATTTTGAGAATTCAAAATTTTCCATTGACAGTTCAGATGGCCCGCACATGCGCGTGAACCAGAATTGGGCGAAATCGTAATATTTTTCGGCAGAAATTAAAGGTTTTCGAAATTTTTATACTATTTATAAGTAACTTTAAGCCTGGATAGTATTCGTTACAGATTTCTACTGCTATATTACGTATTCACAGCAAATGTCATGAAGATCCGATGAAAATTGACGGAGTTATCGCAAAAAAAAACAAATTTTCAAATTTGAAAATATTCCATTTCCGAATAAAATAGCCCGCGCATGTGCCTTAACAGCTGTATCTTCGGTTCTAGAGGACTTAGAAACTATTTACAAACCCCAAATAAGAGGTAATTTTATGCTCTTTAAGACCATATAACTATCATTGGGGTTCCAGTTTGTCTAGACTATGTAACGATAAAATACTATTACAAAGCGATCGGCGTCAAAAGTGTTTTTCCAGTCCGCCCTAATGTGCATGGACCCAAACTAGCCTCAATCGTAATATTTTCAGGGCAAAATTCATGATTTTTTCAATATTTTCATATGAAATTGTTAATCCTGCCTCAAGATAGTATAACCTACAGATTTCTAGTGCTTTGTTACGTATTCACTGAAAATTTCATGAAGATCGGATTAAAATTGACAAAGTTATCGCGAAATTTCAGAATTGTCCCAACTCAATATATTCCATTTTCGGTTTATAAGGCATGAGCATGCGCATGGACTGACCCCTACATGCGCAGTGACCATTTTCTGCG